CCCAGGGGAAGGGTACAAGCCGTTTGACAGCTGATGCTAGCTGTCAGAACGGCTTTTACGCTGAAACAGGTGGGAGGCAGCAAACAGCTGCGTCCGACGAAGTCGCCTGCCACCGGAAGCTCTGTCTGAATCTTAATAACTGAACTCCAATAAGACCCCTAAATTTTGTGACATGGTCTGCTATCTTGAATAGCTGGCAGTTTAACAACGTGATCAGTAATTTCAACTTACAAGTTGTCTTTTGCAAATTTTTCAGATTTCTGAGTCTCAGAATATTAATTTGGGAAGATTGAAAAATAAGCATTGCAAAATAAAATTAATGGAATTTAGTTTTCCTTAAACACTATCATACCGTAATGGAATAAATGTCATTGAGTAAATATGCTTTGGCAGCCGAGTCCAGTTTTTTATCTAGTGTGAACCACAGTGTAGTACCATATCTTGCTTTTGATTTAGCGTAATGAATAGATATGCTCCTTATAGCTTAGTACAACGTGCAAACTAAGCCACTATGGATTATCCAACAACTATAGTTTAAAATATTTTAAAAAGTGATGTGAGAATGCAGTCCCTATGATCATTTATACCAGTTTCTGGTTTATTTTAACCATGCTAAAACCATAATTTCTCATGGGAAACTAGTTGGACAAAAACATCTTCCTCAAAGCCAATTAGAGCAGCACTAGAAGTAGGCCAAAGCAATGAAGATGAGAGAAATCCACGGATTTTTTTTTCTCCAGATACTTCTGCAGCTGTGTTTATTTTTCTACATAATGTGATCAAATAGCATTAGTGTTATGTAATTGTGTAGTACTTTGAGTGAAGACTTCAGGCTGCTTGTCTTGAAGATCCATAATTAGCTTTCCCAAACATGTTACTGTTCACTGTGCTATTTCTCTCTGCTTGTACTTGCCAATATGATTCATGTACAGACTACTGCAAACACTTTTCACTTTCAGAAGCAGACAACAGAGGCTTACATGAATAGCAGAAACTGATGGGTGGGGGGGAAAGAAAAAGGCTTTTTAACTAAAGTACCTTAGAACTGAATTGGCATAATAGGCTTGGATAAAATATTTCTTTCTCCTCTCATCTTGTTTTGAGCAAGGATTTTGTTTTGGTTGCTTAGATAGAAGTTAGAAACGTACCTCATCTGAAAAGTTCCCCTGAGATCAATTAGACAATGATCATATCTAGCACTTGCCTTAAGTGCTTTGTGTTGATCTTAAATGTGCCTATATATAAGATAAATGAATAAATATTTAAGGTTTAGCTCCAATTTATTTTAACAGTATGTAATGTTAACAATAATGGCATTCTCACAGGATAGGGGCACACCCAACTTACCTGAATGCCTTAATTTTTATTGTAGATTCTAAAAAGAAATATAATTAAAGGTTAATTAATTAAATACAGAAAATGTCAGAAAGTTCTATATTAGTTTGGAAAGGGAAAATAGCAGAAAGATAGTCTGAAAAAATGTTTTGACTCGCAATTTGCCACTCAAAGACTATTACGGGAAATCCTGATCTTTCTTTGTACCATCATGTCCTTTAATATGTAATTGAGGAAGGCAAAAGAGGATGTATGTCCTATTTTTCATTGTTGAGGAATCTTGATCCCTGCCTAAAGGAACCAGGTAAGATGGGATGGGAATGGGAAGGAAAAAGGAAAGGTTTTTACCCTGCTGTCATGACTAACTTTAGGAGGCAGTGCTCATCTTTGTTTCTTGAGCCAAAGAGCCAGGATTATTTGGAGACATTTCCGCAGTCATGTGGCTAGCATGACATCACGCTGCAGCACAGAGCATAGGCAAAACACAGTATGCTGTTACCTTCCTGCATGCTTATATTTGGGGTGGGGACCAAACTGCTAAAAATTGTTATTCCAGTTCTGAGCTTAAAAAGGAAAGACACAGAACTGCATGTTCTTGTGATGAAGCTCAGTTATGACAGTAAGGGTATTAATGTGATTTACATGTGTAACTTTTGGTAATAAAAATGGGAACTGTAGGAAAGATACAATCAGCAAATTGTTTTTTTTTAAATATCTGCTTCCATTTCAAGGTTGTTACATCAATAGACCAATGGGAGTCCCCCTGGTAGCTAATAGCTTCAGGTAACATTTTTTTGTCAAGATTGTACTATAGACTATTCAGGGGCTGCTAATTATATAAAAGCATGATTGTAAACCCAAGGCTTCTGAGCAATTTGCAATGTAGCAGCTATGCTGCACCAAATGACTTAAGGCAGGGCTGCTCTAATGGTTTTAGAAATTATCTCCGGCTCAGGACAAGGCAGGATCCCACCCAAAATGTATTTCAATGTGATCAAATTAAAAAAAATAATACACAATGGGCACCATAAGAGAGCTATTATATTACACCTGGGGCTCTTGGGCAGGAGCTTGGTCCTGTTTTCACAATTATATTTCCAGCAGGAAAGACTAAAGCATATTTAGAATGTGTTGGAATAAAAATATAATTTTGACCTTTATTTTAATAATAAATGTACAAACTGTAATAATCCCAATTTGAAAATTAGGGGTTATTTATTTATTTGTGCTTATCAGCTAAGAGGGCTAATAATCTTCTAAATCAATTTGTGTTTTTTTAACTAATTTGAAGTACTACTAGAGGGATTTGTACGATTTAAAACTGCAGAATGGATTACAGTAAATTTCTAATCCCACAATTTGGTTAGATATAGTTTTTTCTTTTCCACTCAATTTTGTCTAATTCTTGGAAACTGCCTGGGCAATTTTGTTTCGT